AACCCTAACTATTCTATGAATCTATGATTATGAAACCATGATTCTACTGAATTTAAAAGTTGACAATTGAATTTGAAATAGAAACAAATCAGAAATCATAGAATGCTTATACCTTTATTGATGAAATCCAAAGTATAAGCTCGTGGATTCTCTCACAGTACCTACTCCTGTTATCAACTCTCTTGCAGTATTAAATACACACAAAGGACAAAAAAAATAATTCAAACACTTGCAAGCAGATTTCCGTATATAGGAAAGAATACTTTTACATTCTACTTGTCTAATATCAAACTTAAAACCCTGTGAGCATCAGAATTTTGGTAACTACTTTGATAGCCTTTTAATAACAATTTTCAGAAATAAATCATAAAGAATAGAAAAGACAATCAGACTTTTAATAATTTGTAAGTATTCACATATTAAGAGATGAGGCAGCCAACATATAATTGATTCTAGGGCTAGTACTACAGAGCATGTACATATGCTTAAGTGCTTAAAGTGCTTAAATGCTACAAAAGTTTTTTTCTCCCCCTTCAAATTACAGCATGAATATTTTGACACCTAGAAACCACAATTTCAGAGCTAGGATATTCTACCTTTAAAGGAAGACCTTCTCTCCATACCTTCATACGTCACCTCCTTGTTATACGAAGTTAGAAACAGGTATTTTGATTGTTAGATGGAAGTGAAAATTTAAATACATAAATAGGAACACTGAATGAAAAGCACTTATAAGTTCTTTCAACGACTAAAGATGGGTTAAGTGGTTTCCTATCAAAAATTTCTGTGAATAGAAACATACATTAGCATTAGTTCCTTGAGACACAGACAAGTAATAATTGCTGTCAAGATTCACTATACTGTTAATTTCTCTGTGTGGTAAAGAAGCCAATTATGCCTTCTAGTTTGTGAATTGCTAAAACTTTAACCCAGTATTCAACTTTTGGTTCTAACTGCACATTTTCTGGGCTAACAAGAATGGTAATGTTGTAGAGGAGAAGAAAAAAAAAATTTCCTCTATCATTCATGAAGGTTCCTGTTTAGGTAGCAAAGAAGAAAAAGAAAAAAGTAAAAAAAACGTTGGTTCTAAAGGGACCTGGAAAGGAGGCACTGGTCACAAGACAAAGCCTCGAGCTTATACAGGATCGGAATATTCTCTATTTCTAACTAGCTTACACCAAATTTTAATGTAGTCACATTACATTTTCAAATTATGTATCTAAATTAATAGACCTCCAAACCTTGCACTTATAAGTTAATTTTATATCCGTTAGTTACTGCTGAGAAGTTCACACACACTGAACCCAGAAACCCCTATGTTAGTAGATCTGCTGCCTGGAGATTCCAGCACCTTCCCCTCATAAACATGATTCCAGGCGTGACCTCAGGCCAGGTTTACTGTCTACAAGGTATGCTGCCAACACGGTTGTCCCAAAATGGTAACCCCTACATGTCTGTGACAAAGCACTGGCAAGCAAATATGACCCAAAGACCAGTACAATGCCTACATAGTTTCCAGTTCTCTTATTTTTCCCATCAGAAAAATATGTACAAGATAACACCTGCGCTCTCATTTGGCTTTTCATATTACAACTTGCTACCCTGCACATGGCTTTATTAAAGACTCCTTTCTCTGTTTTCACTTGCCTGTACCCAGATGTATTAGCACATTCTCACGTACACGGCTAGGTGGCAACTTTTCTGAGTCCTACTTCAACAAACACTTTTGTAAATCATTTATGTGAGTATACATTCTAACAAGCCTTCCAGCAAAGCCTGCACTTACATATATGCATCATGTTTCGCATGAAAAAGGGAGTTGCAGAATCCCTTTATCATAAAAACTGTACATGTATACGTACAACTCTATACAACATACAGTTGCGTATGTAAATGCATACACATACAAAATTAATTTCCAATTACAAATTCATAGAAATTTTAAGTTTTAGTTTTAAGTTTTATATAACACCGAACATACTGTGGATGTCCAGAACCCGATAATGCAAGCAGGCAATACTGCACCCATGTGCAAGAAATCATTATATCTCTGGTGGGAAAGGTGGTAGCAGTGTCCCCCAAGTTTCATCTTGGATCACTGAAAAGATGAGTATCAGAAGTTTTTCAAAGAAAAGAAATATCCCAATTTCTCAGTGGTTCATAAAGCCCTGAAAGGAAGTACTCATCACTCCTACGTTACAGACATCATTCTGAATGTGGACTCTTTCAACCACCATCCCGTACTGCTTGGAAATCCACACAGTGAGAAGACTCAGATGATCTTCCTCACATCTCCATGGGTAGAGGATTTGGAGGATGTGCTGCCCAAACCACTGATCATGAAAAAATTCCAGTGGCTGAAAGTTATTCTCTCAAACACAGTTTGTTAGGCTTATCACAAGCCTACACACAGTTGCAGGCTTATCTATTTCATCTAGCTACATGGTTCCATGGAACCATGCTAAATCTGGCTTATCAGGGACTAAACAGTTGCAATGATAAATACTCTCATAAATTCATTATCCCTGACTTCTTCCTCAGATGACAAGACAGCCAGAAGAGTAAAAATAATTTCTTCTAGAATGTCGTCCTAGAGTACTTGTCCCAGACACAAGGTTACGTGCTCCAGTCTCTCTATATTGTGTCTCTTTGACTAATAAAAAACTTAAATCCCTAAAATGTGATGACAGTAGCCACAGCATCCTCAGCAATAACAGCTTCCATCTACTCATCTGCTTCTTTTGTGCTTTACTACTTATTAATGCAGACAAAGCCTAAAACTACACTAAAAAAAATAACCCATATGCATTCAAAAGTATTTAAAAATGAAACATAAGCACAAACCCAAATGGAGTTCACGTTTTTGTGAACAGGATTATAACTGCACGGCACCATTCAGGAATATTCTGCATTGCTGTTGCATGCAAAACTGTGTCAAGTTGGGGAATTTCACTTAATTAAATTTATTGCCAATTCCAAAAGTTTTAATTACCAATTCAGGTATTAAGAAACAACACAAATAGTGAAGCAAATACCCCCCCTAAACATTTTCCTCCCTCTTTGTCTGTCTCAACCTTGCTTCACTTTTCTCCTATCCTTTTTAGTCCCTAGTCTCCTTGCTTTTGCTTTTCCCTTTAGTAAGGCAAAGGGTGGTGCAGGTTAGTGCACAGTGGCTTGCTCTTTTTCCTTCTCCTTGTGTCTTACTCCTTTCAACTGCTTTAGTGCAGGTCCTCCAAAATCCCCTTGGGGATGGATTCCTCCATGGGTTGCAGTAACTTCAGTACTGAGGAGTAACCCAACAGGAGGCTGCAGAACCTTCTCCTGTGATTTCTTTTGTGTGTCCATGCACATCCTGTCTTTCCCTTCATGCCTACCTCATTATCTCCCTGTAACTCCATTTGTGCACCACTTTGCATCTCCTGCATCCCCTTCATGCCTCCTTCTGTCTTCTTTTGTGCCTCCTCACAATCCCTCCTCCTGTGTCTCCACTCATGCCTTCTGGCATGTTTTCTTTATGTTTCCTCCTCTGCTCTGGTGCCTCCTATCTCTAGTAGCTACGAACCTTTCTTAAATATGCTTTCACAGAGGTGTCGTATGCTCTCCTGTTTGGTTTCAATTTCATTTGTGCAGTGGGTCCATACTGTCCTTCCTGGAGCTGGCTGGAAACAGCTGTGCTCAGCGCAGGTCAGCCGTGCACCCTTACACACACACCCACACCCCACCACCCCCGCTACTGTGAAACCCCTGCCATTTATGGCACATACAATTGTAAAGGTGAATAGTGGAGGTAAAAAAAATAGGCAAAAAAACCGAAAAAGAATTTTCTAAAGCTCAGCCATAATGACCTATGGAGTAAATCGTAAGTCGTATGCATGGCAGTAGGCATTGACAAAAAACATCCCTTGTCATCAAATAATAAACAAAAATAACTTTTATATGATTAATTTCTTCTAAAGAGCTACTTACAGGTGCATTAATATTAGTGAGAGATGTATTCATTTCTGAAGAACAGATAACAAGACCACATATACATTTTTCATTGCATATACCAGCCCAGAATATGAATTTTGGCTGAGAAGACTATATACTTCTGGAAATAAATTAAATTTGACTTACCGTAACAGAATCAAGTTTTTGTTTCACCTTCTGCATTCTCATTGATGCTCTTGCAACACTGACAAACTGATCTGCTGGAGATATCACTGAACTTTTTTCTCCAGGAATTTCAGAAAAACTGCTTAAGAACTGCGGCCCTCTTGGTGCAGCTGTGGTAAGTGATGAACTGAGATCTTTTATGAGTTCAGCTTCCTGTTGTGCAACTGTAGAAATAACCAGTATTAGTGTGTCAGGTGAAGCTTTATGTCACCATGGGACAAAACCCCCATAATTGAATGACAGTTGTCATTTTCCCAGCCATGTCTTCAGTCAAACACCATGAGAATCTGTAATAATAGTGCTATAGGGAAAACCTGAAAAAGAAATTTTCCCCTGTCTTTTCCTGATCACAATGTCTCCCTTCTGCTAACTGTGTTCAGTAACCTCTCACACAGAACAGATAATTTTGTCCCCCTTAGGAACAGTAGTGTTCTCTATGCAGAAATATTAGGGGGGAAGAGAAAGGAATTTTTCGAAGGCAAGAAAGTTACAGAGCTTGCACTGAGCTCAAGTCAGCTATTTTACTAGGTACATTTCACATTTTTTCCAGACTAGTTCAAGTGAGTTTAATATACTTAAGAAAAATTTCAGAAGTTGCTAGCATTCTTAGGAGGTAGCCTGCTCTAAAACAGGATGTTTTTGATGAAAGTTGTGCTCATTGTTATTTAAATAAATTTTTTGATGTTTGTAGTTTTTTTGTACTGTGGTCTCAAGCCACATTACAAAGCAAATGTATAAAGACAGGATAAGCTTTACAAATCTATGTTCACTCCAGATATAATTCAAACAAAAATCTGTTAGAGATACACAAAATTTATTGCATAATTCATATTAACATTGTCATGTTGCATCTAGACAGCAGATATGTGAAACTATGTCCTTAATTGAAACTGACACTGCTGAAGCTAACCACACAAACACAACTATCAGAAAAGTGCGCAAAGGACAGCCTGCATTTATATTGTATATCAAAAATTCCAAGTTAGCAGTTATCACTATCTTGTTTTTATTATAACATGGGGAATAAACATATGTCTCACATTATCACACCACAAACATAACAACTGTTTATTAGAACAACCTACTCTCATTCATTTCTACACAGCTCCTCAAAAATTTTTTGTAGTGTAGCCAATATAAAATACCAAGCTCTCTTTTAAGCTATTTATTAATTTTCAAAATAATGGTATTTTCTGGCTCTATAATTCACCTTGATACTGAAAAGGGGCTTTTAAATATTTATGACACTGCCTATATACGATAAAGTGCTGTAAAAATCACACAGGATGATATATAATGACAAGTTTAAACTTGAGATTGCAAGGGACCTCTGGTGATTGGTGAGGCCAAAGCCCCTGCTGAAAAGTAGGGTCACCTAGAGCAGGTTGCTCAGGGCTATAGTCCAGTTTGGCTTTGTTATCTCCCAGGATAAAGATATCCATTATAATCACGACTGTTTCCTTTTTCCTTCAAAAGAAGTACAAATACTAGCAAATCACTTCTATAAATAAAATATTTACAGGTGTATATCAAGAGAATTAGTACTGCACCTTTATAATCATGTATGTATACAAGTATCGGCTGGTTTTGACCAAATGCACAAAATGATACCATGTGCTCATGTGGATGAAAAGCAACATCACGAAGTGGAGATGTGAAGGAGAGTTCAGAATATATGGCCACCTGATCTCCTACAAAAGGGAAATATGTTTATTAATACCATGGAAACATATTTGATGCAGCAACATAGCAGTTGGTTAAGGCTTGTATTACTATAGTGCAGTGACTGCCACTGTAAATAAATACTCCTCAGTAAACTTCTTTATTGAGAAGTAGTGTTTGGTATAAGAGAAAAAATATCACATATTTTTAAGTTATTGAGTAAGTCAGAAAAGTTAGTGATGTGGCAACAGCTGCGGGAAACCCCAGAGGATGCACTAGGTTAGCTGAGTTCTCTTGTCCTGATAAGCAAGTTCTGGAAAGGTGGCGTTCCACACTATTTGTGCTTGCATTTTGCCAGAGATAGCTATCTTGGTTGTGGATTTTGACTACATAATACTGACAACAGGAATGAAAGTTGAGTACAAACTTATTAGAAAAATAAAGTTAGCTCTTCAGTTGACGGCATTATGAATGCAAATACAGTATGTAAGCAAGAGTCAAAGCCCAGTAAAACATACTAATAACAAAGTTCATCCCTCCCATTTTCATTCTTTTTCAGACAAATTATGTAGCCTCACAGACGTAAGCTAATATTGTTGGAAATGTGGAAAGAAATTAGAACTGTTGGTTAGCTGCCAGTTGTAAAATATTTAATTTTTCTTATTAAAAAATTATTTAGATCAAAATCGGAGACAATATCATGCCATCAAAAAGTGTACTCTGCTACCTTTTACTGTTATATTTGTCCCTTTTACCTCATTGCACAAACTCTTAATCTTACATTTCCTTAACATTTTTCCAGAAAGATCTTGATAGCTATTTTGAAACTACTTGACTGGGGACTAATAGACAAAGAAAACTAATATTCCAAAGGCCAAAAATATTCATAGTCTCTGACCACTCTTGGGAAACAGATGAAGTGGTTCTCAACAAAAGCCTAATTCCCAAATCCAAAAAAGCACAACAGAGAGACTGATCTGACATTTTTGTGCATTCTAAGACCCTCATCCACATGTAAAGAATTGCAGTATTTTAATTCTCCCTAGGGAATTAAAACTTAGAGATAAATAATATCTACTCACAATGTGGAGCTAAGGCTTCAGGATTCAACATTTTAGAAGTTTTATTCCATATCAAAAGTGTTTCAATGAAGGTTACAAACCCTTTGTCCCCCTGACAACCTGACTTAATACCATAAAATAATGTTACCTGTTTCTGGATTCCAAACATAAGCCTTTCCATCTTCACTTCCAGAAAATAGGAATGTACCACATGGTGTTAACGTGCTGTGAATCTTTTCTCTGCAATTTGTGGCACCTATGAATTTCTTTGTAGCCAAGCTATAAGATGAAGAATAGTTTGCAAATGTAGCAGATACTTTCAGAATAGATAATGTAACTTCTTATGTGTCAGGCCGCCTGTCTATTCCTCAGAAAAATGAATACACCTTACATCCCAAATAGATACACAAGCACCCACATTTGCGGAGTGCAGTGTTTACCTTCTCTTTTCCCTGGATTTCATAATGCACCTGAAATTACATATGAAAGTGTACATCCTTGCCTTTCAGTAGAAAACAGAAATACTCAGATCTAGAGAATGGATACAGATGTAGTAATTAGCATTTTCTTGTTCCTAGGGGCTTTGCAAAAAATGAGAAATTGGCACTATTACTCCAAGCTCTGCCAAAAAAAAGTTTCCATTATGCTTCCTGAGCTCAATTTCATCCCAGTAGTGCTTAAATTCATACAGCAGCTCCCTTTAACTCTTCACACTAATGTCTCCTTGGTTAGAAAACCAGCAGCAGAATCAACAAATATCAGACGTCAACCACAGAATTGTTTGGGTTGGAAGGGACCTTAAAGCTCATCTGGTTGCAACCCCCCTACCATGGGCAGGGACACCTTCCACTAGACCAGGTTGCTCAAAGCACTGTCCAACCTGGCCTTGAACATTGCCAGGGATGGCGCAGCCACAGCTTCTCTGGGCAACCTGTGCCAGTGCCTCACCACCCTCACAGTAAAGACCTTCTTCCTAATATCTGATGTAAATCTACCCTCTTTAAAGCCATTATCAACTACATGTTGATTTACTATTAAGATTATTTTGCAACTTAGGTACCCTAATCTTTTTTCAGTTAAACACTACTGGTCAGCATAGTTATAATGACCTACTAGTGAACTATGGTCAGTTTGTATGCATCAAGTAGGAGAGAGTCTACAAAAGGATTTAAAGAAGCAAAGCCAGCTTATAATATGCTGGTACCTCTCAAACATGAAGTACAGCTTGGAAAGAGAGATGACAGTACAAAATGGAGGCTAATACAGCAGATACACTACAATGCAGAATTTGGGGCAAGAAGAATGGCAACAGGCCACCACAGCCCTCAAAGACTAATATTTAAATGTGTTACCGCAGAATCAGCGGAGGTATGCTGGGAGAAGTGAAGTGCAGTTAATGATAGGAAAACTATTTTAAACAATATTCTGAATACAAGTATATCTGTGAGCAAGAGGAAAGGATGCTTTAATGACTACAGTGGAAGACCATATTACCTCAAATAAGAGTTTTAGCTGTGTGAAAAAGAAAGACAGTATCTCCAGGATGTCATGTAGAACAGCTCTGCAAGATGTAAAGCTAACCTGCACATGAAATCCTAAGGAGAGGTCTGAACCAAAACGAAATCCTTGATCACATACCTGGGTGACAGGACAGCAGCATTATGTAAAGAGATCAAAAAAGAAAGTTGAAAGAGCAAAGTTAAGAACAACTAGCTGTCAATCAAAGTGAATTGTGTTGATCTGTGACCTCCACCCCCTCTTTTCTCATGCAGCGAATGAACAGTTAATGCTGACGTGTAAAATTATCACTGCTGTGTATCTGACCCTGTGGTTTATTGACAGATTTAAGCCAAAGTAACTGTGGGCTGTAGTGAAGGCAGCAGTCCTGCTGCTGTCCTCTCCACCCTTATTTTCCCAGGCTCTCCCTCATTTCTTCTCTTGTGCTTGGGCAGCTATCTGATGAGTTCAATCAGATAGTTAATAAAAATGAAAATTAATCATTTGTATTTGTAGGCTGATTTTTAGTTGGATCAGTTTACTGATCTGACTTACCTTGCATCAAAAGATCTCTACAGAAACGATAAAAAGGAAATGCTAGGAATACATGGCCAAAGGTGTGGGAGATAAGGAGATGGTGTGTTCGATGGATAAACTGGCTTAAAATAATTGTGAAATTGCTCCCCATATTAACCCTTTCCTAGAGATTAATATGCATTTCCATTTTTCTCTCTCAAACGAAAAGTCTCTGCACTTTTTAGGAATGGTAGTGATACAAGAACACTATCTGCTTCAAAAGCTAAAGGTTCCCTCTGTTAAGCCACCCATTTCATGTTTCAATTGAGCAGATATTTGAGACCTCTAGGATGGTCATTATAATTTATCATTTACAGGAAAAGATGAGTGCACTGTAAGACTGGAAAGTCTTCAGCTAGTTCATATATTCAACCCAACAGAGCCATAGAATTGTTTAGGTTGGAAAAGACTTTTAAGATCATTGAGTCCAATTAACGGAGCACTGCCAAGTAAACCACTAAACCATGTTTCTAAGCACCACATCTACATGTCTTGAATACCTTCAGGGATGGTGACCTCAACCATTTCCCTGGGCAGCCTGTTCCAGTGCTGCACAACCCTTTCAGCAAGGAATTTTTCACAATATCCAGTCTAAACCTCTCCGATACAACTTGAAGCCATTTTGTCTTGTCCTATTGCTTATGACTTGGGAGAAGAGACCAACACCTCCCTCCCTACATTTCTTGAGAGAGTATAGATGCCTTACCATCATGCTATGAGAGTAAATGTATCAGCCTCAGGTAATTTCATGTAGAACACCAGGAACCTCTGATGTTCTGCATGGTGAGGAGAAGAAGGGAACCCATGAAATTGAGGATGAATCACTTAGAAACAGAGTTTGTATCTTCAATGTGACTTTTGAAATAAGAATATTCAGGTCCATATTCTCAATGTGTGTTAACTGATGGGAATGAGAGTCTTCTCAGCTTCACTCATTGAAAGAACAAGAGGGAATGGACACAAACTGAAATTCAGGAAATCCCATCTAAACTTAAAAGTGTTTTTACTTTTGAGGGTGAATGAACACTAAGACATGTTGCTCACAGAAGCTGTACACTCTCCATTCTTCAAAACCCAACTGGGCAAAGCTCTGAATAACATACTGTCACGTTTTGCCTACTGGAGTTGGACTGGACACTCTCCAGCCTCAAAGACTCAAAAGTTATTCTGTGGTCCCCTTCTTTTTAATTGTAGCTTATCATTAAAAAATCATGTTTATAGATACTACAAATTACAAAATCATCAGAAACTAAGTTAAAAATATCTCACAGCCTGCTTGATATACCATAATACATACATCACTGCATTTTTCAGTATTTATGATGTCATAATCTTCATTCTACTTTATCATCAAAATTTCCCAGAGTCTTAACAATGAGAAACTAACGCACACATAAATGTTAAGATTTCACAGTATTTTCATGTCCAAATTGCATTTTTAAAAGTTAACTCAATCTTGCAGAGGCTAGTGCCTTCTACTTCAGGCCACCTGAAACTCCCAAGTAATCTAATAATTTTTCGATATTCTAGTCTAAAAGATTAACTCAGTATCACAAAAAAAGGTCTATAATACAACAGTGTGTTGAAACCATTTCCAAGCCCTAATATTGCTATCTTCATTAGGACATCTTTCTTCTCTATAACTATACATTCAATAATTTTATTGTATTTTAACTTTCTCAAGCAAATTTTAAAACAAAAAGGAAATATGCACTTGTCATCAAAAATCTACTCACATTCTGAGATCCATGATTCGCAGGGTACTGTCTTTGGCATGGATTAATAAACGCCTTCCATTTGGATGCACCTCCAAATGATTTATTGGTGTTCCTTTAGTATCATTTTCTTTGATTTCCTACAGAAAGAAGGAAAATAGAGTAAAAATATAACTTTGTGGTTTAAAACACGTTTTTACATATTATTACTAATTTTTCCATTGCATTAGTCTTTTTCTGCCAACTTTATTCTATTTAAGGAAAAAGCTTGTTGTGTATTAAGGCATTATATCCTAGTCAATTGGCTTTTCACAACCTAAAGGCAGATAGTGCTGTGAATCTGAAACACAGCTGATGATAGAAATGTTGATTGAGCATCAGTTCTATAAGGTATGAACAAAAGTGATTTGTAAAGCCTGTGGTCTGTTTTATTGTTGTCTCTAGGGACAAACCTAATGCATTAGCATTTATCTGATAATACAATGCTATTTAACCTCAGTTTTTCATGGTTTATACACAAAAAATTGAAGTTGCAAAACAATTTTAAAAGTTAAGTCCGTGAATCACAGCATTATTAACAGGTCTTCCGTACCATTATTTAAAGACAATATGCCTGGAGAAGAGAAGGCTGCGTGGAGACCTCATAGCAGCCTTCCAATATCTGAAGGGGGACTACAAGAATGCTGGGAAGGGACTCTTCATTAGGAACTGTAGTGGTAGGACAAGGGGTAATGGGTTCAAACTTAAACAAGGGAAGTTTAGGGTAGATACAAGGAAGAAGTTCTTTACAGTGAGGGTGGTGAGGCACTGATAGAGGTTGCCCAAAGAAGTGGTAAACACTTTATCCCTGGCAGTGATCAAGGCCAGGTTGGACAGAACCTTGGACGACATGGTTTAGTGCGAGGTGTCCCTGCTCATGGCAGGGGGTTTGGAAATAGATGATCTTAAGGTCCTTTTCAACCCTAACTATTCTTACCATTCTATGCCTCAGTTAAAATAAATAAATAAATGTATAAAACAAATTGAATTCAAATCAGAAGACCAAATTTGGAACAGCTCACATTAAAATTACAATGCTAGTTTAAGGAACCTGTATACCTTATTAATCCTCCATTGTTGAAACAGGTTTTGAGAACTTTCTTTGACAGATGTATCCCAAACTATTATCAGTCCTGAACCATCTCCAGAGAACATATGGAGCCCTGTGAGGTAGTAACATCTTGTAAGTAAAAGAGTACCACACAAAAGAACTAACAAAAGAACGACATATTTGTTTGCCTGTCCTTTCTATGCTTACCTCTCAAGTTATATAGGGGCTATACATCCCTCTGTGTTTGCCCAAATAAGGCATACTATTAATGTATTAATTGCAAATATATTAATTATTAACATATTAATTGCAGTCACAGCTAAAACTATTTTATCCTACTATAGCATTTCATGAGACCTCTATGAAATAAAGCAAACTAGCAATAGTCAAGCTGGTCTTCAACTGAAGACTTTTTGAAAGAGTAATACTAAGTACATACCTTCTGCATCAAAACAAAGCGTGTTGATGAAACTTTTGTGACCATCAAGCTCCTGTAGCAGTTGCCCATGGATTTCTTCCACATTTGCATTCCAGATTCTAATCACCGAGTCATAACATCCTGTGATGACCAATGAGTCAGCAATAGGGTGGTACTTAGCAGTGTAAACAAATGAAGGATGAGCAAAAACTCTCACTGCAGATGCTGCCTGCATTTCTATCTTCCACATTCTAAAAGGAAAGGATGTTAGGGTATCTACTACATAAAGCAATCACATACACAGGTATAACTGATGCCATATTTTGTGCTAGTGGTTCTAGAGGCAGATGTTCGCAAACACTTAACACCACCTCTCTATCCTACCAATTTGTCCCATGTATGTTTAATCCTTTAATATGGTACTTCCTAACAAATATTAAGACACATTTACTACTTTATATTCATGACTACTTACCCATTTAATGGTTATTTTGCACATTTTAAAATATATATAAAAAATTCCATGGAATGGAACAGTTTGTTTCTTTGTGATATGTGACTGTGATCTCAAGGATGTTTTCTTCCCATAAATTTTCTTACTCTTCATTTATTTCCTATCCTTCAACACCCTTTCCTGTAAGATCATGTTTTTCTTAAGAGGTGGGATTTTTTTGTTTGATTCTATACATTCTATTACTGAGCCTTCCCCAAAAAAGAGTCCACGAAGAACGGAACAGTACCTGGATCAAGAAATACAGGTGGACAGCATGTTTCAGAGTGCGCTCAATTACAATATGGAATTTAATTATGTAAATGCCACGCTTCCAGATGGAGCGACTAATTCTGATGGCTACTGAAGAATTCCAAGCTTACTCAGAGATGAGTTCATTACAAAACTGCAATCTCAGAGTATAGCAATTAACTTGCAACTTATTGTGCAAAGGTCATAAGGAGTCTACGTATTTTTTAGAATGATTTCGCTCTACCAGCGTAAAAATTTATTACTTACAAATAATGTGAAAAGGCTCAAGGGTAACATAAAACAGTAAATAAAGAAGAATTAATCTAAGTTCTCAAATTTCCCTCCAAGCTGCCTTAGAACTCAATCTGAGAGATGATCCAAGTAATAAACTGAAAGCAATGGGATGCCTTTTGGTCCTCATCCTTTAATTCTAGCATATTTATATGGCAAAGTGCTCCCAATATGAAAGGGAAAAAGAAGACACTCCTTGCCTAAACAGAGACTTTTTAAGGAGCTCAAGGCAACAGACAATAAATACAGGAACTAGGAACTTGCACAGTGACTATGCATAGTACACAGAAAAGGAGACAGACCACTACAGTTTCAACTTGCTGCCACAATTTAAGAATTGAGGAACTGCTGGGCCTCTTTATAGTTAGCATAAATGACTGAAATTGGTATTTACTCCAATATAAAAAATTCTTATTTGCTTCCAAATATAAACCTCTCAAAATACTCTTTTTATGCCTACATCCAAGTAGCAAAAAAAGCAAAACAGTTCCGCACATAAATATAAAATTTAACAATTCTTCTGGCATTTCAATTATGCAACTGCCTGTAGCATTACCAAGTTGCATAACAGAAACAACAGATAGGGATCTGAAGAGAAAAAAAAAAAATAAAAACCCAAACCAGCCCTATGAAAACATATGAAGTTGCTCATAATAAAATTGTACACTGTCACAGCCATATTTTCATGTAGTTACACAGTTTTAAGGGTTTTGCTTTTAATCCTCGATTAGTATTTTAACAGTAACACTGCACTGAAGTACCCTTTTTAATTGTAGAGAAAAATGTGTACACAGTCAGTCTTGGAAGAATACCATCAAATTTCATTTACAGCAATTTAATTATTTAACTAAGTGTCCAAAACCACCATCAAGAAAAAAATTGCATATCTAAGTGGCGCGTGACCTATTTATACACATAACTTTAATTTTAAATTTTCAATTTCCTGCCTAATGTTCAAATCTTCAAACTTAAAACTGCATTCATAATATGGCACTTTCTCCAAGGACAGAATGTTCCAACTGTCTCAGTGACTTCTTGAAATAGAAAGTCTTTTCTTTGTTTGCTACACTGGTAGATTTAGACACTACAGGTTTTCGAAAAGCTTTGGTCTCAAATACATATACGTTAGAAACCAATATAGGTAAATACAGAGTGATTAACCCCATCACAATTTTTATATTATTACAGAGTAAGTCAAATTGTTATAAAATCTTTAATTAAAACATTACAGCACAGTTTGTAGCAAGACATGAAATTGGACTACTTTTTACAGAATGCTTCTGATGCTATCTGCCAGAACATCTTTATACTGACCTGACCATGCCATCAGAGGATGCAGTAAGAAGGTACTGATTGTCTTTTGACCAACAAAGATCATACACTATATTAAGGTGACCATAAAATTCTCTCAGGAGCTGTCCAGAAGGAATTTCATACACTAGTGAAGTTTAAACAACAAAAATAAGAAAAAAAAAATTTCTTACAATCAATTATATGCATTTAGTCAAATCTTAGGCTAAGTTTCTGCTAGCAGAAATCAACTAATTTTATCTTCTCATTTTCAGATAAGAAGATCGAATGGTTGCTAAATACGCATGGACAGCAAACATATACTTCCATCTAGTGGTTCATGGATGTCACGAACATCTTAACTCTTAAGAAACTGCCTACTCACTTTAAATTATTAGAACCAGATTAGGTTTTCAACAGCTACTCGACCAATCTTTGAAATAAATCGAAATAGAGATAATTTTCTGCGGCTGTGTAATAAAGTAACCTAGACTTACTGTTCCTTGCATTTAAACATTTACTTTGTGTACATTTAAAATACAGTTCTCAAAGTTCTTATGCAGGTCTTAATAACTATGCAGTTGAGGCTACTGTTCAACAGCAGCCCCAAGTTTGAGTAATAAGGAATATTTGTAGTTCCAACTGAACTGGACCATGAAAGACAGCAGCCTCTAGCAGTCTCTCTGGAGATGACAATGTTCACAAAACTTACACAAAAAGTGTATGGGGTAGAAGCTGAAAAGTTATTTTACTTAAAACCTTGTTATCAGAAAATACGTCTCTTAGGCAAACTGATTCCATATTTCCATTATCACAGAATCAGCTAGGTTGGTAAAGACCTTTACGATCACCAAGTCCAACAATTACCCTAGGACTACTATGACCACCACTAAACTGTATCACTGAGGGCCTCATCTACATGGTTTTTGAATACTTCCAGGGACACCACTTTCCTCGGAAGCCTGTTCCAATACCTGATCACCCTCTCTGTGAAGAAATTTTTCCTAATATCCAATCGAAACCTCACCTGACGCAGCTTGAGGCCTCTGCACAGAAATAGCACGATTTCACACTGTTAAACCGTATATGCAATATCATGCATTAAAAGCCAGTTCCAGCACTATAAACACAGAAAGAGCATTTTTCTCAATGCTCTTTAATGCTTTAGAACAATCTGCAAAACACAATTATAAAACAAAACCGCAAAAACACCCACAACTTAAAAAAATACATCTTTTGCCCTTTATTTTGCAACTACATGAGGAGTAAGAAAAGAAAAAAAACAACCAAAAAACCACACAACCAATCAAATTTAAAACTTACAAATAATGGGATAACCATTCCTTCCTGCACATGCTGCTGCCAGCATTTTCCCATCATGAGAGAAACGAATACAGAAACAGCCCAGCTCTCCACCTCGCAGTGAAAACAAAAGCTTGTTTGGTATGCGGCAAGCCTAGCTTTTCAGGTAAGAAATGGGATTACATAGTTATGAATATTTACTACTCAATGCTTAAAACACATTCTTAGTTACTGTCATGCATAAGTTTTAAAAAGCTACTAACATCTTAAGGGAATTTAAAAGGAAAAAATTAAAAAGCAACCTTATAAACAGAGGCAGTTCTGCTGCATTACTTGGGCCATATCTAGTTTGTATATTTCTGCCCCATTATTACACACAACCAGCAAGATTTAAAAACCCTAAAAAATTGAATCATTTCCTGAATCTTAAGAAACGTTTAATGATGTCTATCATCAGTAATGTAAGCTACAGAGTTTGAATGTAAGTCATGCTTGTCTAAGCACAACTTTTAGTAACTTAATGATTGCAGTGTGAACTCAGGAGACGAGCTACAGGCACTCAAAGCTTTGGCTTACCAAATCACCTTGAGCAGTCCTAATTTGTATTTCAGTTCCTGATTTTTTTAAAGCATAACTGGAGATGAAACATTTTAAAAAAATGCACAGGTGTATAGGCACCCTTCCTCTTTCCCCAGACACTTCCTTTTTTTAACCCATGGGCTTTTTCTCCAGAACTCAATTAAAAGTTCAAGGGGAATTAAAATATCCTGAGTAGTTATGTGATTATTTAAGCTAAACCTGATGTTTCCTTTATGAATGAAAAATCAGTATGGAGAGATTCATATGCATTTAAAAGTACACAAATAGGTCTTCTCTGCAATAACTGAATATACATTGTTCATTTCAGAATAATTGTAAAGACATCTTGTTAGAAACTAAACAAGCTGCCAAATTTCATTTGTATGATCTCAGATAAATGCTCTTAGGATTGTATTTCTCCTAGTTTTGATTACACACATTTTCAGAATGGCAACTTTCTGAAAACTAGTGAACGTTAACTTAAACACAACTTTTAGATATCCTGCCATTTTTGGTAATAAAATTTCTATTGTAAAAATGGACACATCTATTCTTAAAATATTTTATTATTTTTAGCAAACATTACTGGGAAATAAAATTAAGTCCACATATATTTATGTGTTCTTTTTGAAAGGATCTGTACAAGGACCAAAGTATGGAATACAAATAAAAATCAACATTCTTTGTTAACAAATCTTTATATTATTAGAATTTTTATAGAAACATGAACTCACATAACCTTCTTAATATGGTTCTTCAATGAAAGTTATAATGTAAAAAGAACATCAAATGAGGGAATAAGGAAAAACAACTAACCAACCAAAATCCCAAAATAACCCAACAAGGAAATACATTTCCAGTCAAGCTGAATCCTGGGAATTGTTTTTCTGTCTTACTTCTACTACCTGAATAGGCCTACTCTTTCAAACTCCAGGAGAATTCTCAAGATGATAGTAGATCTTTAAGTTATTTTCCTTTGAAATGCAAAGAAAACCACTTAACCTGTCCAGGCAATCTTGTCCATTTAAATGGCTCTTTCTTCTCCTCTGGAAAAGATTCACATGAGTTTTTAGATCCTTCTCTCTGGTGCTCACACAACGATGCACTGCACTGCTCCTGCTGAACAGCTATCATAGAGCGGAAAGAAGGAGGAACCTTAAGGCAAACAAGAGTAAGTATCAGGAAAAATATTTTTCAAATTAACAGTTTAGTATCTGAAAAGATTAAAAGGTACTTTTAACTTCAAATGCATTGCATTTTAACATCTGAAAAACAGACACTGGAAAAAGCTTAATAATCAAAAAACCGCATAGCAAAAATTTCATTTAAAGTAACCAGCAAGTCAGAAAGTAATCTGAGCTTCCAAAGCTGTGTTCATCTGATGGTATCAAAGATTTTTCAAATAATCAACACTCTTCTATTTTTGTTAACTTTCTAGGTCAGTGAAAATTAGTAATACTCTACTACCTGGTGAAGCTGTTGTATGAAAAAGAGAGCATTTCGGCATGTAAATAGTTTCAGTGACATTAACCTACCACCTTCAATCAAAATACTGCCTTGGCAACAAAATCCACTTATATCAAAAGACATTATCAGCACCATGTATTGAACAAACTATGTTCAAGAGTTGCAAAGAAAAAAAAGAGAACTCACCACATTGATGATTTTAATTATAGGTAAAGCGCCTACACTTTCCAAACTTCCGTAAGTACACTTATTGAACCTTACCTACAACTTACATTATACCAAGCTTGAAGACAAAGGAAGCCCTAATGCCATGAAGCAGACTAGAAGCCCCATGGCTGAGGGGCAGAGAGGTCATTAAGCAGCAGCTGTAGTTCTGATTGCTTTCACTAAGACAAGTCTCTTCAGAAACACATCTGAAGAGACAGGCATCTGAGTTGCCTGATACCCACTTCAGGATGAATAATTGCCTAAGTTTCTGTGACTAAAAAGGGTGGAGGTTTGACACCTACTATGCAAGTAGAAACCAATCCAGGAGCTTAAACCAGCTATCCACACATAGGTATCTACTTCTGTGTAAGATGCCTTGTTTTATCTGAGATATGTTTTTTTTCATATCTGCTACCCCCTGGAGGAGATACGGGAGATCTGAGCCCTTCTGGAGAAGCAGGAGACTAGGCAGGATCTGTAACAGACCTTAAATGGAAGCGAAATCTACGCACAGAAAACTGTATTATGCCATGGCTCTTACCTGGAGCTCAATCCCAGCCTTGACAAATCTGGCATTTGTCAGAACAAGAATGAAATAACACCAATAGCAAATTGATCCAAGTCAAGCACAGCCCAGAAAGCCTACGCAAATTCATCACATAACTTGAACTTTACAGAGGACTGTAAAGTAGAGATAACTGTCATCCAGTGATAGCACCTAAATGTATGAGGAAAACATTCAGACCATGGAGAAGAAAGGCTCAGAACACTTCCAGAAAGATGAACCACAGCTGCTCAAGCAAAACGCACAGGATTCCTAACAACCTCAGCAGCTTACTGATCAAGAGATCTGTGGATGTCAGTCCAGTATACAGATCAGAAGTGTCTCAAAACCATGCGAACTAAACCCATATATTAGCTTGGTTTCAGATCACATCTCACCAGGCTTCCACAGATCACCACTGACTGTATGAACAATAAGCAGAAGACCTATGACAACTAAAAAATACATATGGAGAATTACATAATAGAACCATATTCTACTTGCATTGTAGAATGCTAAATGCTGTATTTATCTTCAATGCACATCTCAGTGCATACCAACGTAAGCCTGTCTTTAAAGGAGTTTTCATTTTAAAAAACCAAAACTCATTATAGCTTGAGGGTGCAGGGAATCAGAGTTAAGTAACTCACACCTCTTCGCTCTTACAGAATTTAAACACCTGCATGAGTCCAGTGACTTAAACTAGTTTTCTCGCTGTCAACAGCAAAATACAGAAAGTATGCCTATTTTTCAAAGATAGCTATGAAGGACTGAGTTTGGAACATGTATCTTAAGATGCAAAGTTATTTACAGCTAGTTATATACTAGTTATTCATATGCATATAAGTACAGCTGTAATACATGCATGCAAACACACACATGCTCTAGCTAGTTACTAGTTCCTACAGAAAAGTCTGTATGTTTGTAAATACATTTATATATCATATATTTAACTTACATGATCTGGTAGTTTTATGCCTCTTACAGTTACATATAAAGTTGATGGGTAACGATTTCTAGGACATTTTGCCCACCAGTTGTAAACCTCAACCACATCAGAATGTGATTTGGTCTTTGGAGGTGGGTAATATAATTGCAGACGGAGTTTTCCATCAATGTTCAGAACTCCATTTGCACCTACAACCTGAAAGGGTGATTAAAAAGAGGGAAAAAAAGGTTGTGTTAACATAAAAGTAGTAGGAGTCATTGATTATTTCTAATATCTTAAACAATTAAACTCTTGAAATCCACTTCCCATTAGGCAAGTATACTACCCCTAAATGTGGTAATGAAGTAAGCATGTATTAAACACCCCCAGGATCAAATCACTAAGATTAAAACTTAGATGGCAGCCTAGTTTTGAAACATGCTTCATATGCACAACAGTAATATCTTGTATATGGGAAGACCTCTGCAGTACTTTTTTTTCTAATTACTACTTGCTGAAATCACCCAAATCTCAAATGACTGTCAATCCAAACAGCCTCTTCCAAATCTGCCCCTTTTGAATGCTGCAGCAAAAGGCATTGGTAAGGCTTTGACTCAGAGCAGAAGATACAGCAAAGTGGCAATCTTTCTAACTTCAAAGGAAATTGAGTTCTCTCTACTGAACTAAAGAACAAGTGTATCTTCTGCCATTAACACTGACCACTGTTTATAAGGACATTTCTACTTTGACTGATACAGATGAAAGCACAATGCAGACAGATGCAGCAGAAATGAAGAACAGGACACAATTCATATTTATGAGTTGGAAATTCATTCTTCTCTTTGTCCAGGACTAGGTTATACTGCATGTCTGGATGCACAGTTTACACCAGCTATACACGCAGATATGGGATACCAGAGCCCTGATTCCAGCAGTTCATCTTGCCCGGAGCAGAGAAGAGACATTGTATTGCATAATGAAGGGAGATATGTCTCCCCCTAAACTTGCAAACCATTATCTTCTCCTGTATTTCTCATGTTCTGGACTGCTCAATGGATGTGAAGATGTACCATTCACAGGAGCAGATGTAAATTAACAATCCTCAAGGAAATTAAAGCTTGTCAGCTCTCAGAGGCCAAACTAGCCCATTCAAATCTCTCCCAAAACAGGTAAAAAAGTACATGATGTGCTGGCCAAATTACCCGTATCTCATTGATGCCGCATTTCAAACTCTTCAATAAAAGTGACAGGCATTTTATAGTTAGGCAAGGGAGTCTTACCAAAGACCGGCCAACTGAAAATGATACTAAAGTAGAGTAGCTGAGGTACAGAAATTAGTGGATTTGTCATTTTCTTTGCAGAAACGATCTCACAAACACATAGAAAACCCTCAAAGAAAACCTTCTTTTGCACTTTATGAACAACAAAAAAATTCTTACATACTCTATACTTCTTTGGAAAATACATATTCCTTACTGTGAATTTTTTGTGGTGAAAGAAGAGGGAAAAGAGAGAACAACTAAGCAAGCATTTGTTTTTCCATCTCTGTTGCCTGGAAATGGCATTAAAAAACCCCACATTTCCTCATTTAGTACAGTTAGTGTCTTTCAGGTAATTAAATGAAACTACTTATAAATTTTGTTTCTTCATTTAAATATTTACAATACCTTTAGAAATGCCCAACAAATTTTTCGGAAACCAGATTCCTGAATTTGTACATCAGACTTGGCTCTCAATTCATCCATACTTAGTAAATCAAGCACCTGAAAGTATTGGTAGGAATATAAATGCATTTCTAATGAATAAATACTTTTTGGTAATTAAAAAAACCTTCTGAAAATATACTAGATGTGATTCATTAAATTAAACACATTCCAATTTTAAGCAAGTACAAAACCAGTACTTCTTTCACACAAGTATGCAATTAGAAATAACAGATCCTTATGTATTTACCTGATGACTATTTATGGCCTGCTTAAAAAAAAAGGACAGAAGTCTGGTCTTAGAAAACTACTCTTGTTTCCCTTCTGTCTCAATAAAAGAGGAAAATATTAATGTGTAATTTTCATAAACCATATATGGTTCACAAATCATATGGATCACAAATCTGACAGCCAAAACCAGCTGTATGTTAACCTAAGGGCTCTTAGTTCTGTAAATGTGGTTTAGTGGTGAACTTTGCAGTGTTAGGTTTACGGTCAGACTCTATAATCTTAAAGGTCTTTTCCAACCTAAATGATTCTATGATTCATTAATATCACAGAACATAAAGAAACATATGCTGATACTGTGCATACAATCTATTTGAAATATAAAAAGTGAAGGATGAAATAATATTAATTGTATTAGGTTCATTTTCAGATTAATTCTACAGAATCTCTCTTCACAAATACTGAAACACAGCTGAAAATCATGCTGAGTATAATACCTTAGAATTTTTTCTTTAAACCTAACTTTATTGGAGGACAAGTGAATAATTACTTTGTGAAGAATGGGAGAGGAGATATAGATGTCTAAAACGTCTAATAGTTTGCTCATTGGTACAAAGGAAAAGAAGCGTTGCTATCACTAGGCAAACTCCATCTTTCAGATTCTGGTACTTAAGCTTCTTTTCAAGATTTTAAGAATGTGAAAAAGGAAAAAGTGATATTCTTTAGACATGGTGCCATCTCTCCTAATCTTGAACCAGCCTTTCCTAGAAACTTGACAGTTGATTTAATATGAAAGCTTTGTCCTCCTTACTGCTATCAAAACAGGTTGTGGGGTTTGTTTTTTTTTTTTACTCTATAATAAATGTGTATTAGTATTAGCAATCACCAACACCACTTTTTGGTATCTCCACTTAATACTTTTGGTAGCCTTAATTCTGTACCTTAAAGCTACACTATTAATCCACTATATCTGAAATAAAACCACCCAAATCAGTCGAATATATACTGTTGAAGAAACAAACAGAAAATCATAATGTGCATAAATTGGATGTAAAATAGTTAACCTTACCTCAAAAAACAGGATTACTAGAGGACTTTCTTCAGTGTTTTGAATAAAGTAACTAAAACGCTCATTAAATATGACTTGCTCCTCCCACTCCGGAACTGTTGATTTAGACTGTCTGAAGTTATATGGTTGTGTCATAATAGGAAGAATGTGATCTATTTGTTCTTGTTCATAGTAAGATGAAACTTTCCTCTGGCTGCTTAAAAATTTCCAAACAGTTACAATTGCTATAGTGCCTTAAACTCCCCTCCAACTTAAACAAACCAGTATTTTCAGTTACTGAAAGAAATATACAAGATACCATTTGTTTGATTTTAGAAAAATAATTTCTCCAAATTTATGCATAATGATCACAGTAGAGTACTAATTAAACACCATTATTTTTTTTTTGTTTTCAGGAAAAGTATGCATATTACACTGGAAACAAGTAACTGAAGCAATTAGAATTACAAAGAACCAAACTTCATTTAAAGATTTCAGAAGGCATTTTATAAAAGAAAAGGCAGACACTATTTATGCCACATGAGTTTTGCTTACGTATTCGAATCTTGGCTTCTACATATTTTTGAGATTTAGGAAATATTATCTCTGTAAGGTATACAGAATGAACTGTGCTGTAAATATGGGGACCTTGACAGCAATATGGTAGTGCAGAACATTTAAAAGTGCCAAAAAAGAAAAGAAAAATACCACCCTAATTTACTGCACATATCATATATCATATGAGATAGATGTAGAAACTAATGAATTATCTCGCAGGTTTAAAATTCAGTATTATTTTCATTTTAATATTTAATTTTCTAGGGAAGAATCTATGTATTTATAGTAATCACTGATAATAGAAACAGTTTATTAAAAGTCACCTATGATCCTTCTTGACATATAAGCCACTTCTCTGATCAACAACATGGATTTTAACCATGGGATGAGATACCCGGAGATCAGTTTTAAGTCGATCAGATCGATGGATGTAAACTCCCAACACAAGATCATCACCAAAACCAAATTTAGTCTGAGTTGAAATTTCCGAATTCTTCATTTCCTCATCATTTTCCGCAGCAACTTCTGTATTTTCTTCTAGAAATAGGAACAAAGTAAATAGAGGTTAATATGTTCCACTAGTGACAGTTTAAAGGCGTAAAAATGCTCTGTATTGTCTCAGCAATCAACAGTCACAACATTCAAAATGTTCTTTATGTAATAGGTTTAAATAAAATTATCAGATTTGCAGCATTTTAAGCATGCATGAACATACACATGAATATGTATTAATATAATCTGTTCCTACTAACAAAGATTTTCATTTTAAATCAGATGTCTTCCTCTTGACTGACACAGTTTCTTTCGTGCTACAATGACTTAAAATCCACACAGTTCAATATCCTGCTCTGGACTACAACATGTAGTAGGTTTTGTTTGTTTGTTTTAGGAAAATAAAAAAAGCAAGATAAGGCTAATCTGATGCTTTCTCAATGTGCATTTTCTCTGAATCTACCATTGTTTTCAGAACTTCCTCCTTTACAAGTTACAGTGAGAGCGCCATACTTAATAGATATCAAAAACCCTACTCCTCATCAGTTTCTGTAACCTGCATGTTTTAAACCTATGTCTTATGTGGCCTCGACAATGTTCAAGGAAATTAATTATCCAATTTGACTATGTGTTGCATGAAAGAGTACTCTTTATGTTTAAATTGAGCATCATGTCAAAACAGTGGTGATATAGCATTTATAGCATAAAGTAAATGAAAATAAGAAAATAATAAAAAGACAATCAGAATATGCATCTAAGTAATACAATGTAAAGATGGTATATACATTTTAACATTATATTATGCTTAAAACCCCCAAATGTTTGAACTACTTATCAATTTCAAAACTATTTACAATAAATGAATTATCAGGAATTTAGACTGATACATCAAATCAACTTCCTTATTAATTAGCCTTAGAATTGGAAGAGCAAAAATACAATTAAGTAACTAAAGAAACATAAGCAACTTCAACAGCTCAAATCGCTTCTGTTACTGCTACTATGGACAAATACTTTTGCAGCAGCACAAAGAGGGGAAAAAGAAAAGGAAAAGAAAAACTTGGATAAAGCAGCAAAGCAGAACACCATTCTAACAACTTCTTGTCAGACCTTTTCTGATTTTCTTTTTAACCTTCCTTGCTTTAGGTTTCTGTTTTTCCATGCTTTCCTCCTGTTTCTGCCCTTCTGATGTAAATAGTCTTTCCAATGAAAGATTTTCATTGCCATCTTGTGCTGGATGATGCTGTAGCTCAGAAAGGGACATTGCACTGCAATGTAATGGATTACTGTCACCAATTGCATTTTAGTCCTTGTATGGATACAATTGCTCATTACCATTATTAATACACTTGCATTTCCTCTTTAGCTCTGCAACTCATCTGTATACACTGAAAACGCGACACACCCCCCCAACATTAGTTTCTTTTCTTTTTCATTTCTCTCCCCTCTTCATTTTCCCATAATTTCCAGATAGTTGCAGAACCATCCATGTGAACAGAGCTAAGGTAATACTCCTGCTGGGTTAGGGACATCATTCATCACTAAAAGACCATGCACAAAGTTATCTTTAGTTAAGAGCAAGTTCCACAGAAAATAAACATCTGACAGTAATGGAGAACATTTTTTTTTTTTTTTTGTAATTTGAAAGAATCTGTGAGTTAAATATTCTTGACAGCATTTTGAAAGAGTATGTGTCAATATTTTTTCATAACAGAATCATCCAATTCAATACTTAGTCAGAAGCTTTCTGATAAACTGTACACATTTTCTACCTAAAACCGAAATATTTCATTTTATGTAAGATTCACAGGAACATGGTATACAGTTTATCATCGTACCTTGTTTCAGCTTCACTTAAAACTGCTTTTTCTTTCTTTTTCTTCTTTTTGCCTAATTCATTGTTCAATACAACTTCATGGCTTTGAACAGTAGAAGTAAATTCAGACATCTGTTCTTTAAGTTTCATTCTTATTTTCTTTTTAATTTCATTTGCCTCATCTTCAGCCACATGCAGTTGATAGGCTCGGATTAGCTCTTCTTCCTCTTCTAATTCAGTTACATTTCTCACTTCAGTCAAGAAATTTTTAATCTTCCCATCACCTCCTTGATGAGGTACATCTGTTCGCGATTTACTTTTTGTTTTCTTCTTTGGAAAATCATTAATCTTTTTCTCAAAACTCTCCAATTTAGCTTCATGTAAATTTTCCTCCTCATTAAATTGTTCTTGTAACAGTGATTTCTTTTTCTTCTTGTTAGACTTTGGTTGCTTGTTCTCCTCTCCACTAACAATATCATTGTTTATTTTCTTTGCAATTGAGGCTTTCTCTCTCAGTTTATTTTTTGTAAATCGTGGACTCTCTTCTTCAGGATTGTATGTGTTGTTTAGAATTGCTTCATCATTCACACTTTCCTTAGCTAGATCAATATTACTTCTAAAGGTGTCAAGCTATAAATGAAAAGAACATAGAACACACTTGTACTAAAATTATGTTTAAAGGATAAACGTATTACTTAATGTTACTTCTTTAGCAACATTACACAAAGTAAAATGAAATCAAGGATCTAGTTATTTTGTTTAAAATTAACAAGTGACGGATTTAAAAGCAACAGAAAATTCACACTGGAAAAAAAAAAAACCAAAACATTTGGCACTTCATCCTCAGCTTTATTTCACTATGTTTTTAAATCGTTTAAATCGCTTTTATGTATATCCAGACAAAAAAGAAATCAACAAGCCTGCTTCATAAACAGATGCCAATGCTTTAGCCTATGGAAGACTTGAAGATTACATGCAGCACAAAATCAAGTATTTTAATCCATTTAAAATGCAAGTTAGAAACAGGTTTCAAGCTCTGCTGTTTGTAGTCCCTTTAACTGAAAGTTGCTTGCCCAAGTTAGACAATGGAATTATATTTAAAAATGCTACAACTGAAAAACAGACTTCCATTCAGACTTTTTTCCCCCCTAAGTATAAAGTGGGGGGGGGGGGGTGATGTAGGGGGGGGGGGGGGGAAGTCACATGACTCTTAGCAGAATGAGAGAGTTGATCTAAAGACCAGTCTATTAAAAACAGCTAAGATTAGTTTCAGCTAATGCGTATGTCTGTGCACTCCTTCTGACAATTTTTGGTCTTTATTGCAAACATTCCATGACTGAAAGAACACTCAATGTGCAAGTCATCTGCCACTACGTTGTATGCCCGCAATCATGTGAGCCTGCAAACTTTCATCACTATCTTGCTTTATTCACATCTGAGATTTGAAGAGAGAACATGGAGAGCAAGGAAAGTGCAAGTACTGAAGAAGGAGAACGGAGGATAAAGAAAGAAAAGTTTGAAGTACACGAGAGAGAAAAATTCAAGGAAGTTTGTTAGGTGTACAGGAAAATTGTCAAATACAAGCAGTGTGGCAACAAAAACACACCAAGACAAAGTTTAACACAGAAATCAAAAAAATGACATCTGAAACTAGAGACAAAGCTTAAAAATACACTAACTAGACTAATACTACATATTAAAAAACACTGTCCTAATAAAGTATAAGTTAAAAAAGAAAGCATGTAGAATTTCATGCAAGTATGCTTACCTAATACATTAGGAAAAATCTAAAGCCACTCACATATCTTTTCAGTAATCTTCATTTTTAGCATCCTATGTCTAAAAATAGATTATCTTGATATCAAATCATGAAAAAAAGTCCTTGTACCTTCATCTTTTACTTGCTTAAATAGACCAGTAACATCCTCTTTATTTATAAGTTAGTGATTTAAGAGGATGTGGAAAAGTTCATATAAATAACTTGAAATACGGAATAGAGTAAGGGTGGGGGTGAAGGCATCAAGCTTTGTATAAACTAAAAACCCAAAATAATGCTCTGTAATAGATTGACCACTTCCTTTTCTGCATTTCTGTGAATAGCTTGAACTGCAGAGAATAAGGACTGAAGATTAAAACACACTAGCAGTTAAGGCCCAACAGTTAAAGTCATGCTGATGCTTGCCTTGACAGAATATTAATCCATTAAGACACACAAATTCCTCAGATACAAAGGCTGTATGTACCTTAATTCAGGACACTTTTTCCACATGTTGTAATTGCGTGATGTAATTAAACACAGAGGAAAGATGACAGAGAGTCACAAAATGATAAAGGAAAAGCCAAGAGGTTCATAAAAAACATCAGATTAGGTATCAAACAGAGGCAGGGATACTGATATAGATTCTCTGTCTGAAATGCAGGAGTGAGAAAGATCAACTAAGAGCAACTGTCTATATATAAACATACGTGAACCAAGTCAGCAAAAGCATTTGGGTTGGAAAAGCAGCTCATAGGATAGGCCTGTCTCTGGAGTAAGCCCAGAGGTTTGCTGACCTGAGCCTGACCTCCTCAGCTTAAAGCATGGAACAAATGAGGTTTTTTTCAAAACAGCTCCATGGCCACATCACAACACCAAGGCAGAAGAAATACTCTTCTCTGAGAACAGACCTACTTGCACCACTGGCTTGATAGCAGCAAGAGATGGGCGTCAGCCAAGATGCACACATGTGGGCTAATACCATAGTGAGCCAACCCTCAGTCATGTCACCTGCTATTCATGTTCCAGAGCTGACAGCAGGGACTACGCCTAATAATCTTACTTCTTTTTAAAAAGGCTTCTCACATATGCACAAGTGGAACCTGGAAACACATCAGGTGATTTTGCCCAGGGTAACTGGAAACTCAAGATAACCAGACTTGAGAGGTACCTGAAGTTCTTCCCATAGTACAGGCACACCTTGAAAAATAGGAATAGACATTGCCAGTCCACTGAAGGGCTGATGTGTACAGTCTGTAAAAGACCATTTCCTTACAAATGAGTTGATAATGAACATACTTGTTCATTGAAAGTCTTAATGTACTAGGGAAGCAATTTTACTACCATTGCTCATGTAAGTCTACAAAACATAGACAGTCAAAGCTAGAAAAACTTCAATTTACAGATAGGATGGGCTTGGAGAAGTTTCACCAAATTTTAACAGAAATCATTGAGAAAACGTGTAGGTCAAGTACATAGTGAACTACTAGCAGTTTTCCTATTTTAAATGTAAGAAACAATGGGCTAAATCCAGTGGAAATCTCAGCAGTTTTTCAGTGTCTACGGCTACTGAAAAATCAAAGCAGACCTTTCACTGGCCACAGCTGATGTCCATCTCCATTACAAGCACCTCATTCCTATCTGTTGTGACCAAACTGATCCTGACTTACTGACATCAGCCTTTCCTCTTCCAGTCAGGCTGCTTCTCTTCTCTCCAGGCCATGGGAACACAAGAGCAGAGCAGGCAAGTGTGCAATCCCCTTACCCTCACTTCTGTCATTTAAAAATCACAGGAAGCTCCTGCAGCTCCAGAACTCAGGTTTCAAGGACACAGTGGACAGTGAGGCAAAAGCTTTTACTAATCTAAGAAAGGCTAGGTTCAGTAAAGACAAAAGAAAGAAGCAGACTGGAATATTTCAGTGGAAATATGCTCTCAACCATGACCTGTTTATGATCAAGCCTGGGATGCCATTTATGGCAAGTGCGTGACACAAAGTCATCACTGATAAATTTCACATTATTTTAAGATATGTGAAAGTCTATACAGTTAAATTACATACAGTGAATAAAACTGTAAATAAAAAAAATAAAATAAAAAAAAAAAAAAACAACAAACCAAAAAACCAAAACAAAAGACAGCCAACCTCCTCCACCTATCTCCTCTTCCCCTACCACATACCTTTACTTCTTACAATGAAATGACTGGTTATTTGCTGAAGCTTTTACAGAAACTTCTACTGGAATGCAACCAGCATGGAAATACCAGCCTAAGCTCTTGCAAAATTGCCACAATTTTAGGAAATATTCAAAATAACCACTATAATATTTTAATACACTTTCTCAAGTTCTTCATTTTCAGTGCTGTGATTGATAAAAATCTATGGCTTCAACAAAACCATAAAGCCAGGCTTCTTCGCTGACCCTAAAAACGCTTCTTAATCAGTGTGTATACCACTAACTTTTCATTCAGTTCACTGTGATTTTAAGTGTTTCTAGGTAACTCCAAACACTAGTGTTCTATATCAGTGATTTCTGGAATGTAAACCAATTTTAAAACCAAAGCTTAAAATATTTATGAGTAATATGAACCCCCATATGAAGACACAATTATGTGCTCAAAAATAATTGTATCATAAAGCACAGATTTAAAAACTCATGTTTCATCAAAAAAGTAAGCCTAACCAAGGAAGAATTTAAGCTTGTATTTACATGTATGTCAGAAAAAAAAGGAAAAAACCACCCCTAAAATTTCCATGCTCTGTAAACATGAGACTACTCAGACACAAAGCTCAGCATATGCAGAAATATGTTGATCACTGAGGTCAAATTGGGAAAAAAAAAAAAGGTTTCAAATGTTGTTTAATATTGTTTGTAAATTATTATTCTTATACAAGTGATTTTTAGGAAATGGGTTAATGAGTATCTCCAATACTATTACATATTCTCATCAGTTCTCAATTCACAGATGTATTACACAGATGTAGTGCTCTCAAAATTAAATATTTTTACAGCCATAATTCTACTAGCCCATCTCTTGAACTCCCACTAAAGTTAATACTGAATTTGAAAATCTTAAATGTTTTCTGAAAACTATGACTGGAAAAAAAAAGTACTGGCAGACTTTAAATGAGTGCATGCCTGCACATGTCACTTTCTTTTTACCTGTATTATAGTCTATGTAATTTTGGCATACCTCCAAATTACAAGGATGTGTTGCTGGTACACAGACGACATACACAAGCCACCTTAAAAACAAAGGATATGTGCAAAAATATACCTTACAATTTATTTTTTTTTTATGCCTACATCTCCTTTCTACAACATATTTTCCCGATCTTTTTTCCATTAAGGAAGGCAACCAACCAAAGCCTGCATGTGTTCAAACTCACCACAATATTCTCTTCAGAGTGAAACTTCTTTTTCTTTGATTTCTTTGTGCCTGCTATGCCAGCATGATGTCTGAAGATCTCCTCAAAGCAGGCTCTGGTTTTTGCCTTTGCCTCACTTTCAACTGCAGAAACAAATCTAGACTGTGATTCACTACCTCAATAATCACCATTGCTAAAAAAGTGTGTAATCATGCTTTAAAATTGAAAAGACCAAGAATTATTTTATGAGGGAAAGTTTTCCAAGAAATTTGCATAGCATCCAGTTAAGAATTTCCACTGACAAAGTAAACCACACAAGGATAACTCAGCAGCATTGTACAAACACACCAGGCTATTACTTGTTGCTGAAGTTGGCACTGTCCAACTCTGTTTCCTGAAGAACAAACATTTTGGAGAGCAAAAACATCAGGATCAGCATAAAACTTAGGTAAGCTAAGGCAGAGGGCAGATTATTGCCCTTGCTGTTCATGAATGGTACCACACTGATAACAGATGACATTGTCTCCAGGATAAGAGCAGCTCTAGGTTCTTACTGAGTATGGATCCCAGAAAAGCACCACCAAGATAGATCTGCAACAAGCAGGAGCATGCAGGGATCCAAAATCAGCTGGAGCTGAGTCCCTCCTTTCTGTGAATCATGATACTGCTATCAGCAGCATTTCAACCCTTGAAGCAGCAGTAGGTGTTCTAGCACCCTGAAATAATGCTTAATTTGTAGCTACAGAATTAAAAATGTAACCTGGCACACCTCTGAAAAAAACTGTTGAATCTTCAGCTAGGGTATATTTACCATATGTCATCACAAATTTTTGCAGAAGCCCCCAAATTTAAGGAATAATAAAAAACTCCCAATGCTTTGGAAATCAGCTATAAAGACAGACTCAAAGCAGAGCAAATACAACATTAAAAAATTACAGACAGAAGTAAATCCTGTCATTTGCATCTAGTTCTGGCTACAAAACACATACTCAAAATCAAACATAGTCTGCTTACCTACTGGCATTTTCAGTCCTCAGAAGTGGCTCAACACACCAGCTGCTTCCTCAGAATTCACCATTCTATTAAAAGTAATTAACAACTTCCATTAACATAACTGCTCCATAGACTTGTAGTTATCAACTGAATGCATGCTTATTAATATCAAGGATAAGTACATAGCTTTTAGGGAAATATTTATTTCTAAATTATGTGTCTAAGTTACTAGAAGTTCTCTGCCATCAAATCTCAGCTCAGGAGTCTGTGCATCTATCTGATACTTGTCACTTGAGAGTAAATAAAAAGCAACACTGCAGCCATTTAATTAGCTATATGTTTCTGGGCAATAGTCAAATACGTTAGTACTGTAGGGCTCCAGTCTTCTAAAAAACTCTACGGTTCATTTAAATAATAATGACCCATGAAGCCATTTATATTGAAGCGTTTCTGATCAGGTTCCTATCCTGACAGCACTGTCAAATAGTCACACTGTAGCCAGCTGATAGCTTTCAATGCAAGGAGTAGTACCTACCAGCAAATCTAACTTTATCACAACGCTCTAAATGTTTATGTTTACGTAAAGCATTTGTTGTTTTACATAAAGCAGACAAGCAATTACACGAAACTCATTTCTCTAAAGGAAAATGTCATGCTTTCCTGACTGTGGAGAAAAGCCTGCAAATGTAATACAAACAAAGCTTGAAGGCAAATAAAAATACTACACAGCTTTATCTTTTCATCAAGAAAATTCAGAATACTTTACAAAAACCTTTAATACAAAAAGCTGTTTTGTAAACAATGGAACTAATGAAACCTAGCTTTCTATCAATGTGTTATGTTCTCCTTAGCCTTCCACACAATAAACTATCGTACCTATCTCCCTGACATCCCACTGAGCAATAGCTTCAAGTTCTCCCTAGGCAACGCCTTCTCATAGATACCACTAACTCACATTCACTAGACACTCAGACTACACTTACTCTGATAAATTAAGACATACCATTAAGTACTGCCAGACTGTACGACTGCATTGTCCTCGGCACTGGTTTGGTCCAAGCAATACATGGGTACAGTTTAGGAGTTCGTATAGATGATTATTAATAAGGAGTTTTCGTGCAGCCACTCTGATTTGGGTCTAAGAGAGTTTAATAGTATTAAAGTGGGCCAAAGACACCACTTGGCTTCAACATTGAAAATCATTCCTAGGTACATACCCCTTACCATTATAAGAAAGAGCCCAGGCTACACTTACCACCCCCAAGCGTCTGCACTACCATACTCTCAGACGGTATGATATCTCTTTCATAGTGTTACTTTCTTCTTCTCTGTCCCCACAGCCTACACACTTTCAGTTCATTCCATATTTGTTACTTACAGTAGTTTGGCCTGCTGGCTAGCCAAAACAAACTAAGAAAAAAAAGGAAAGCGTTAGGGTTGGTTTGGGATTATAGAAGTGCTAATTAGTCAGTTGCCAGGTGCCATTAATTTACTTCATGTATTAAACAAAGCATTTATGGTAAGCATCCAACAATCTAAGGATGTTTGAAACAAGCAAGGATGACCAGAAGAGACTTCACAGGAAGAAGGAAAAAACGGTTTGTTTTGTAATATGCTTCATCATGGCACTGACAGGGTAGCAGCATTTTCACTAATTAAAATACATTTTGAATGGTAAAGAGCAAAGCTTTACCATCACAACTAAAACAGTTAAAAAGCTCTTAAAAAAAACAAAACCAGAAAGTATTATTGAAAAGTATGGGTTTGCAATTTATACTTGGTTGTACTAAAAGGCCGTTTTAAAATGACAGTTATTAAATGCTGCTTTCAAGTAGTCATTTCACAATTGGCTGGAAAATACTTATAATATGAAAGAGTAGAAAACTAAATATAGTTATAAAAACCAGCTGATTCTATCACTTTAATCATTCCCTGAGGATTGCAGGAGCATAGAAAAGTCTCTTATAATTAGTTGAGTGATTTCAACCACCCCTTTGAAAAACTAATTACAAACAATAAATGAAATGCTCAAGTGCTCTTACATTTAAAACCAAAAATGAGAGGCAATGTAGAACACAACAGCAACATAAAGTACACACCTATTCCAAGTACAGAAAGAGTTTTATGGTCAATAAATAAATCACACCACAAAAAACTATACGTAAACTTATTTTGAAGATACTTTTGATTATAATGGAATAAACACCTTTCCAAAGGCTAGGTTCACCTCATGTCTACCAGCACTCTCTGTAATATGCAGACTTGCCAAACTCACCAGAGAGCATAATTTTCTGTTTACCTGTATTTATTCAGTAAAAGTCGATCCTCTTGCAGCAATAAAATTAAGATATAAAGTCCTCTAATGACAGTGCTGTTATTTTATACACATTTCAAATTTAAAATTACATGGCCTGTAACATGGTGCGTTAAAGCAACTATTACATTTGTGTAAATATAGATCATTAATCAACAAGGATAAGAACAAGCCTGTTTACTCAGTGTAATCTCACCTTAAATTGGTGAAGATTTAATCTTATATCACAGGTCAGCAACCACAGTGCCCCAATCTCAATAAACTCAGTTATCATTAAGATTAATCTTGTAAAATGCATTTTTGCATGATCAGATTTGATCTCTTCCATGTTAGTTAATATAAGGCAATACAGGAATTACAAAAATACATACTTTGAACAGTGGCATATTCCAGCCATCAAGAATAACAAAGAAAACAAGATACTGAAGCCCAAACTTCCAGAAATTACTGTATACCTTCCCGAGAATCATCTGACTTGCTCTTCACTAATACTCCACCTGTATTCATGAATGTGATTCTACATTTTATTCTTGCTCTTTTCACAGTATTTTACAACACCGATTTGCTATACTCTGCATCCATAGTATTGGAATTCTCTACGCAAAATATGCAACAAAGCCCACTATTCACGAAAAACACCTTTACTAATAATATAGGTAGGGGGTTTTCATAAAAATCAAACCTATACTATAATGAAGCAGAACATACAGAATCTGTATTACACAATGGGAAGTGACAAATTTCCTACCTAATTAGGACTGTTTAGGAAACTGAGTAGCCAAAATGTAATTGCACACTTCAGGATTTTCATGAACTAAATCCCTCCTTTTGTCACAAAAAGTGAATGTAATCTTCAGTGCCTAAAACCAAGTAGACTATCAGGCCATCTTTTAGATGAGATTAGTCATCGCAGTGGGAAATCCTGGGTTTAACTAGTAGGTTTCCAATTCAGCTATCTGTAGGTATCAGTAGAGGTCAGAAAAAGCTTTAACCCAGAATTATACAGTAAAATGGTACTGAGTTGAATCTGTTCTTCTTCACTGATGGTAAGCATGACACCAGAAACCAGTCTGGTTTTATTCATGAAAATTCTCTATTTAAGTCCAGAAAAGCGACAGCTTTATTATAACCATGTAAATACCTACGTACTCACGTATCAAATAAACACCACTGCAAGAGCAGTAGCTTTCTACCAGTTTAGATGCACCTGTAAAACCCTTGTGCTCACACTAACTAAGAAGGATGTTCAAAAAAGCTGGTGCTACCCATCTGAATTTTATAACAGTAACAGAGAAACTTTAGCTTCAGCATTAGCTGCTTTTTTTCCGCAGAAGACTGGGCACCTTTCGTTGGTTAGGAGAAGGCTACAAAGAGTGTGTCTGCCCTAATGGCAAAACTATGGAGTTCAGGTCTGTGTAAGCAAACAGAGCTGGCTTCTATAGCTTATTACATTTTAAGTCTCTGTCTTGCATCCTAATTAGAAAAACGGGTTCACATCATTGGACCGACCTAAGGATTTTAATTACCGAAGTGGCAGGAACCATGGTAAACAATAAAAATACAACGGCACACTGGCAGCACACACAGCTGGACTAACAGGATTAATGGCATTTATTGTGCAGATGCACATTCCTTACGCGCGGGAGGCATCACTCCTTCGGGCCTTAGTATGGCAGGCATGAAGAAGCCCTGTCCCTTCACGTGCGGCGGCGTATGCAGCCTCGCCGAGTAAACCACAAAGCTTGTACCGAGAAAGGGG